CAACCCCGACGTCCTGAATCTCACACCAGGTGAGGCCACCAGGGAGGGACAGCTGAGGGTGAGCCCCTCCCTCTGGCTGTCTGCAGATCATGTGGAATTACATTATGACTGCTGGTATGTTCCTGTTCCCACTGGAATTTAACCTGGAGTTCTTGGGTCAGTTGATGTCATTCTTCAGCTTTCAGCTAGAGGTTTGCAGATCCCACAGTGTCTCAGGATGGTTTTTAGAATAATCTCTGAATTATTCTAAAATAATTCACTGAGCAGAAAAACAAACAAGCTCACAGGCTGTCATGGCAGTGTGACCCTGTGGTTTCTGAAGGGATGCTTGGAGGAGTCAAAAGTGTCCAGTGAAAAGGCTGAAAACTGAGTTTGTAGGTAATGAAAATGCTCCAAGACAGGGCTGGTCACACTTAGTTCCAGCATAAGCACTCCCTCCTTCTTGGCATTACCATTACCAGTGGGAAAAAGGACAAGTGCTGGGCCCTAACCTTGCCTGTCAGGCTCTGCTTATCACATTAATGACATGAGCAAACATTGCAGGAGATAAGGCCATTGGCTGCTTCTGCCAAGAGCAGTGAGTGTGTGGGCAAGCCTATCCTGTCACCAGGCGTGGGGAGGCCTCCTGGCAACCTGCACCCTGCACTTCTGCTCTCTCTCTCTTTCTCTCCCTTTCTCTGCCCTCCTTCCTTAAAAGCTTTCATTATCACACTGTCCTTTGTTGTTAAGCATGCTCAATTCCCTTAAACTGCCAATTGATCCTTGCCTGTCTTAAGTTGTCCCTAATGTCTTTCCTACTCTTAAAAATGTTTTTTAATGGACTACTTGTCCTTCTCCCTCTTCCCTGGCTTGCAGAGCCTCTCCAATCTGCCAAGGCCATTCGTCTCTGTAAGTCCTGTCTCTCACTAGAAGGAGTAATTGAACTTTGAGCTCCTTTTAGGGCCTAAAGGGGTTCCAGGAAAGCTGGAGAGGACTTCACACAGTGACAGGACAAGTGGGAATGGCTTCCCACTGCCAGAGGGTAGGCTTAGATGGGATATTGGGAAGGAATTCCTCCCTGTGAGGATGGTGAGGCCATGGGGCAGGTTGCTCAGAGAAGCTGTGGCTGCCCCTGGATCCCTAGAAGTGTCAAAGACCAGGCTGGACAGGCTCTGGAGCAACCTGGGATTGTGGAAAGTGTCCTTGCCCATGGCAGGGGACAGGACTGGATGATCTTTAAGGTCCCCTCCAACCCAAACCATTCTGGGATTCTGTAACTTTCCAGCCTGAAGTAATAAAGGTTTCTCCTTCCCCCTGTGCTAAAGTTGCTTTAAGTGTGAGCTCCTTCTCCACCATATAGTTGGAAGGGTGGAGAGGTGGGATCAACTAACATTACCTTTCCTCACAAAGTGAACTGTGCTAATTGCTTTTAGGAGAGTGCATGTTGTAATTACATATCCTAACAGTTGCACCAAAAACACTATAGTAGAAACTATTCTCTAACACATAGGGGTAAATGTATCTCTTAACTGGGACGAAATCTTCATGGATATTGGTCCAGACCTGTCAAGTTCTCCTGTTCTGAGCTTCTTGAGGCAGAACAGTCTCCTGCTAATGCAGAGCTGGGCACAGGAAGGTTGTACAAAACAGTGGCAGCAGAAATGTGTTTGGATCTGTGAAAGATGCCGTGCTTCTGTGCTCCATGTAATTCTCTCCAGGGCATTTTCTATACCACTGACACATTCTTATCCTCCTCAGAGCCCTCACTAGGGTTTGTCACTGAGTTTTAGAACTTGTAGGCACTTGGCACTCAAACTGTGATGCCCTCCAGTTGCTGGTCTCACTGCCAGTCACAGCATCCCACTGAGGCAGCGCTTTCTGCTTCTTCTCTTCCAGACTCCTCTGATGCCGACAGATTGGAAAGGTTCTTTGACTCGGAAGATGAAGACTTTGAAATCCTGTCCCTTTGAAAACAAATAGGAAACTGACTCTGCAAATTTGTGTATGTGTGGGGAGAAGGGGGGAGGGAAGCTCCTTCGAGAGCCTGGGGCTACCGGTTTTCATAGGCGCTTGCTGCCATCCCTGCCTCCCGTCCATGCCGGCATTCCGTGCAGCCTCGGAGCGGTGTCTGCAGTGGGATGAAGAACCCAGAGGGTGTCCCAGCCTTACTGGCTGCAGTTGCAATGGCTCAGCAGCAAACAGCTGCTGCAAGTGGATGCAGTGGTGCTTAGGAGCTCCAAGCCTATCTGTTACAGCAGCAGGTCAGCCGGGCCTTCCTTCCGCGGGAGGCACGGAAATCGTTAGAGCGCTGAATCCTCCCATGGGGACTCCCCTCTGAAGCTTTAGTAGAGCCCACCCGTCATTTAGCAGGAGAAAGGTCCAGTTAATGCCTTTAGCAGCTTCCCTTCTCACTGGCCAGCCTGGACTGCAGCTCACAATGCCAGGGAACAGCAGCCACGTCCCACAGACAGCTGTGAAGCCTCCGGAGTGCAGGTCCCTATGGTACAAACTCCTGTTCATGCTCTGCAGGACACTCAGCACTACCTCTCCTGTCCACAGCCTGTAGAAAGGGGATTGAGGGAACTTTCAAGTGACTGAGAATTCAATAAGTGAAGTGCTGGAGCAGTGCTGTGCTGTTGGAGAGCATCTCAATCCCAGTTTAAGTAACAGAAGGAATGGAAGAGTAGAAAATGTGTGTGTTGCTCAGTGAGTCAGTCCATGTGCTTCTACAATGGAATAGTCTCTACTGCAAGTACCTTCAGGAAAGCTGCTTTGAACAGAAAACTGAATTCCACAGCCCTGGGAAAAAGAGCTGGGAGAGCTGAAACAAGGCAGCAGAGCTCTGCCAGGCGTGTTCCAGACTTCTGCCTGTCCACCAGTGTGCTGGCATGGTGACAAGGGAGTGATGTCCTGCCAGGAACCCAAGCTGTAAAACCTCTTGAGGTGCCCTGGGTGGGTTGGTCAGCACTTCCTGCAGCTCCTCCTGTCAGACATTCCCTTTCCAAAGCAGAAGAGGTGCCTGAAGGTTGAGTAGGTTTCTGAGCTGTGTTGCTGCCTTGCCTCTGCCAGCTCCCCTCCCTGTGGAGTGTGCCCAGAGGTGCTGTAGGAGCTAACCTGGAGAAACCCCTGTCAGGTGACCATCCCAGGAAGGGCAGAGTGCCTTGAAAAGGTCCAAATATACTGGAAATTGTAGCTACTTTAAGCTGGTAGCTCTGCCTGGGCCCCTTCTCCACAGAGAGAAGGGTAAACCGTGGAGGAGAGCTGTCTCCATGCACACTGCTAGGGAAGTGCTGCCATGGTTTCCTCAGTGTGTGCTGCACACTTCAACCCTGTTTACAAGGCTTTGGTTTGTGCATTCAGGTTTGGAACCTGTCAGATGATGGTGGTGTCCCCAAGGGTGGTGCCACCAGGCTAGAAATGTCCTGTTTCCCCTGTGACTGACCTACTGATGCTCTAACTGTCCCTGTGATACCCGAAAGCAGAGGTTTGAACTGGGAACCACAATGCTTCTGTCACTAAATTATTATTTGCTGCTTTCTGCCTGCTTCTCCTCTTCTCTCTTGTAGTCAGGGGAAGAGGCAGCAGAGGAAGTGGGGCTGTGCTCCATTCATCTGCTTTCAATTTCTATCTGAATAAACAGATGTAAAATCTTTGCCTGTCCTGATGTCCTTGCACACGTTGAAGGCAGTGGTGGGTGGTATGGAGTACACCAGGAGAGTCCAGTGTGTACAGGGCTCCAGGGGAGCTGGAGAAGGACTTTGGACAAGGGGAATGGCTTCCCACTGCCAGAGGGCAGGCTTAGATGGGATATTGGGAAGGAATTGTTCACTCAGAGGGTGGGGAGACCCTGGCACAGGTTGCCCGGAGCAGCTGTGGCTGCCCCATTCCTGAAGTGTCCAAGGCCAGCTCGGACAGAGCTTGAAGCAGCCTGGGATAGTGGAAGGTGTCCCTGACCATGGAAAAAGATGACCCTTAAGATCCCTTCCCAGCCCAAATCAGTCTGTGATTCTACTGTTAATTTCACATTCATGGTTGTATGTTTAAGGACAGCTCTGCCAGACAAGATTTTACCTGAGTGTTCACACAACCCCAGTAACAGAGCTAAGCTCAGCTCTCTTAGATCTTTAACAGGCATTTCTGGCTGTTCAGTGTTGCCTTGTCCCAGTGTTACTGTCGGGGCCTGATGCAGCATTGCAGGGCTCACCTCCTTCACCAGGAGTGTCTGGCTGCATTGCTGGGCAGCCGTGAGGGGAAGCTGTTGCCATTTTAGCTGATACTTGTGCTAGCAATGTTTTAAATATTTAGCTTCCTCTCCCTGCTCCTGAATCAGCTCAATCTGCCTCTCTCTGAGTTAGAGAGGGTTTAGTCTGTGGAGATCAGAGCATTCCATCCTGCTGGAAGGTGAGTCAAACATTCAGCAGAGAGATCTGAACTCCCCTGGCCATGCCCATCTCTCAGTGTCCTTTGGAAATTATTAATATTCCAGTTTGTTCTGGTGATTTAGGTGAGTCACAGCTGGTCTGCTTTCAAACTGCACTGGGGTGTGTGCAGGAGCCACCAGTGACTGTTCCTCTCATCTTGGCCAATCTAAAATAATTTATGTGCCTCTTGTCCTCCAGACTGGCCTTGCTATGAGCTCATCCATTTATTTCAGGTTCTTACCTGCTTACATCTGGGGAGAAGGCTTGAATTCACCTCTCCCTTTTTTCCCACAGCTCTAGCAAACAGTTTTCCCTGGGTTTAGTGCCTAAACTGCAGCACTTTCACCTCCCATATATCCTTTTAGAAGATAAATGATCATACTGAAAAATAAATGCCTTGTGCCAAATGCTTAAAAGAGTAATTTATTAGCAAATCCTACAAACTGGTTTGAGCATGGTGGGGATGCATTTCTAGAGAGGAAGAATGATCAGAAACGTGGCATTTCCCTAAAAATGGGAATTGTCTGTGTCCAGGGATGGCCCTGAGCTCCACATCCACATCTGCACTCCAAGACTGGAGCTGGAACAGGAGCTTGGGAGAGGGAGGTTTTGACAAGGAATTTGATACACACTCATGGCATGCTCATTTAAAAAATATAGAAGGGACTCTGCAGGCTGGAAGGGAGGAGCAGAAAATAAAAAGGACATCAGCAGCATGTTGGACCCAAAAGAATACACAGGATCTTTGCTGCTGGCATGTCACAGTCATCCAAGTGCAGAAGATACAAAAAGTGACCTTTCCTTTATTCTTTTAGACCTGTGTGAAGTTTCATTTCCAGAGTTCTCCCAAAGGTTTATTCTGAACCTCCTGCATAGTTTCCTTTGCAATGGACTTGATTTCTCTGTGCAAGTCTTCAATGCTCTTTGAAGCATCCACTGTCTGTTTCCAAGACAACAAAAATACAGGACAGGTAACAGAGAACACAGAAATGAGAAAAACCTTGCTGTTAACATCTGCTTACCCCCCATTACTCAATGTTATTCTTCCTGAGTAGTGAAATGAGCTAATTACACCTCCTCTCTGCAGTTTCTGGAGAAATCAAAATAGGTAGGAATAGACACTTAAGAAGTAGAAGTGAGGGTGGGTGAAGATAAACAGAAGGAACTGCTGCTGGATGTTTTTTAGTGGCAGTGTCTGGGGGGTGTGTGACAGAGGCAGGTAAGCTGGGGATTCATCCCAGGTCTCCTGGAACAGGGAATTGCCCTCTCTGCCACATCTCACAGTGCCCTTGGCTGGTCCCCAACGTGTCCCACTGAGCAAAGTGGGAAGGGGCAGCACAGGGATGTGACAGGCAGAATCTGGGAACTCCCACTAGAGACCCTCAATCCATTACAACCCCATTAGAGTTAATTCTCACCTTCCAGTTGAGGCTCTTGTCCTCCATGAGGCAATAGAAGCACTGAAGAACTTTCTCTTGGAAGGAGCTGGTCTCATAACGTTCCTGTCCAAAGTTGCCTCGTTCTGCTGCTGCTTCTGGGTTTAACTGGAGGAACAGGATCAGGTCTGGCTTTGGGAGCCCAACATCAGGCTGTTTGCACCAGTCCAGGCCAAAGTTCTGCCCCAAGCAAGGACAAGACAGTGTGAGGTGAGACACACAGACAGGACAGCAGCAGGTTGGCTGGGGAGTGAGGTGGGGAAGGAACAGCCCAGGATGGCAGGGATTGCAACCCAAAACTCAGCACAGGCCATGAACTGATGGGTGATAGCCCAGGTGGCCATGTGGGAATTCAGCCCTGCTCATTGGGGGCTGAGCAAGTTTTGTCCGGTGTTCAGCACCTCCTGTGCCTATTTAAGCTGGAGAGAGTGAAAGCTTTTCATGCCTCTGCTGCAGATCCCATCTGAGCTCCACCAAGGCACATTCTGAGCCTCCACACAGCCAGTATCACTCCAAAAAACTTGCTGAGTCCAGAAGAAAGCTGCTCCCAAACACAAACACCACACAGCTGCAATGCAGCTCTCTCTGAGCCCATGGAGGCTCCTTCCCAATACTCACCTCCTCAGGAATTTCAGCCCAGACACAACAGATGCAGTTTGCCAGCTTTTGCATTTTGCTGACACGTCTGAAGAGTTTCACCAGGGCATCCATGAATGAATCCATGATGTTGGTATGACTACAGAGTTCACTTACTGCTCATCCACATCTTAATTCCCTCTAAGAGGAGCTGGCACATCTGCCCTCCAGTTTTCCCCCAGATGTTCTGTATCCTGGTAATCTGGGTATTTTTGGGATGTATGTGCAGTGGGTTTTTCAATCCCATGAGGGGATAAGAGGAGCTGAAAGGGCCACAACATTTTGGGTGTGAGCTCTGGCAGCCAGCAGACTTTTGTGTTAGGTATGGGCATCAACATCTCCCCTTCTCCTGGGAATGCCTCTTGAGTGAAAAATATGCCAAAGTCCATCTTTTAAGAAGCAGAGGAGGCCCATTCCAGCAGCAAAGGATGCCATCCCTGCTTCCCAAGGGTGGCATCCACATGGCTGAGCCCTACAGGTCACCAGCTACATTCAAAGAAATGCAGACACTTTAGGACACCCTTTTTCCCTCACCAGAAAGCAGCAGGGCATTCCTTGCTGTGCCCATGTGGATTTGGGATCATTATTTTGGGGTGATCAGCTTGTGTTGCACATCCTGGCTCTTAATTTGGGGCTTTTGCAGACACCTAATTAGCACCTAAATGTTTCAATGCATTTGTCTCAAGCTACACAATGCTCAGGCAAGCAGGAGGGTGGGAGAAGATGCAGGTGAAGGTTGCAGGGCTTGGGGGCCAAGGATCTCCTCAGTCCCTCCAGGAAGCAGGAAAGGCTTGGGCAGGAATGAATGCAGGTCACAGCTGGTGCTGCAGGCATGGCTGGAGCTTCTGTGACCACTCCTGGAGGATTGGTGGCTGCTCAGCAGGAACAGGACACTTCTGAGGGAGTGGGACAAGTGTCTGTGCAGAATGGCTCCAAGGGAGGCTGACAGAGCTGGCTTTTCTGAAAGCCAAAAGGCACAAGGGGGAATTCCCAAGATATTGTGAAGAAATTCTTCCCTGTGAGGGTGCTGAACTGGTTCAGCCTCAGCTGCCAGATGTTTTAATCCAGTACAGCACAGGAGATGGAAAAATGGCACCAATGATTCAAAAAAAAACCCCCAAATTGTGGGATCTGAGCTAAGATTACATGGGCAGGGTTAGATGGGATATTGAGAAGAAATTCTTCCCTGTGAGGGTGGGCAGGCACCTCAGGGTGCCCAGGGAAGCTGTGGCTGCCCCTGGATCCCTGGAAGTGTCCAAGGTTGGACAGAGCTTAGAGCAACCTGGGATGGTGGAAGGTGTCCCTGCCCATGGCAAGGACAAGTGGGAAATTCAGGCTAAGTGAAGAAAACCACTTTTACTCAGAAACTGAGCAGAGAAGAACCCAGGAAAAAAATGGATCTACATCCCTGAAGATACTCAGACCTTGGCTGGATGTAGGCCCAAGCAGCCTGCTTCTGTCAGCCCTGCTGGAGGCTGAATTCCACAGGTCCCTTCTAATGCACGTGGTTCTGTTCCACAAACAGATGGGCCAGCAGCCTGAGCAAGTACACAGAGTCTTTAATAAACTTCTAGAATCATTCTCCAGAGTCACAGAGGTCAACTTCCAGTCCAGACTTACAATAAGTCACCAAATAAGTTTTTCTGTTTGTTGTGGGGGTGCGTGGGGCCATGTTAAAATCTGAGCTGACCCTTCCACCCCCCACCTCCCAGAGGAATGGCCCCTGGGCCATCCACACCAACAGCCTGGTACAAGAGAGGGGCAGGGGCTGCTGCAGGTGTCACTCACCCCTTTGGCACTCGTGAAGGCCACTCCAGAGAAGGCATATCTGTCAAGCACCACCGTGATGCCCTGCTGCAGCTTCTCCTTCATCATCGGTCTGGAACCATGGGGGAGATAAAATAACAGAGCTGCACTCCTCTATGGTGACAGAAATTAAAGGAGTTAGTCTAAAACTCCAAATATCTCATCATTAAGGGAGGTCAGCTGTGTTGCAGGTGAAGAGCTGTTTGTATTCCCCACCAGGCACTGACCAAACACCCCCTCATGCCACCCAAACTCAGGGTGCCAGCACTGGGCACTGCTCTAGGCACCTCCAGGGATTCCAGGCAAGATCACAAATTAATTATATTGACATGGACAGCTCAGTCCCCTTCCCTTTTCAGGTGGTACAGCAGACTTTGTGACATGCTCTGCCATCTTTATTCATGACACTTCTTCTTAGAGCTCACTTGTGTGCCTTCTGCTTAACTGGCACTGCCATCACAGCAGAGCCAGCAAATGAGAACATTTTGGAATCTGTATTTCCAGGTAAAAAAACAGCCACCAGTGATTCCCCCACGTCCACACACAGGCTCTGTGCCTAAAGCAAGGACAGCCAGTTATGGCTGAACACAGCCTTTGGCTCCAGGGGAAATTTGGGCACAATTCCTTAAGCACTGTCACTCACAGGGGCTGCCTGGCAAAGCAGGGTATCTTCAGGAAAGAGAATAAATTCACTAAATAAATAAAGTCTGAACTGGTTCAGTCTCAGCTGCCCAATGTTGTAATCCAGCACAGGAGTTGGAAATATGGCACCAATGATTCCAAAAAAAGCCCAAACTGTGGGATCTGATCTAAGATTACAAGGGCAGGGTTAGATGGGATATTGAGAAGAAATTCCTCCCTGTGAGGGTGCTGAGGCCCTGGCACAGGGTGCCCAGAGCAGCTGTGGCTGCCCCTGGATCCCTGGAAGTGTCCAAGGCCAGGCTGGACAGGGCTTGGAGCAACCTGGGACAGTGCAAGGTGTCCCTGCCCATGGAACTGGCTGGGCTTTAAGGTCCCTCCCAACCCAACCATTCTGTGATTAAATCTGAGTCCTTAAGACCCCATTTCCAGCCTGTTCCCCTATCTGAACAGAATCACATTCTTGTATTTCTGTGCCCCCTGCCAACTCAAACCCCGAGGGAACCCACCCCAGCCCTTTTCCTTTCCCAAGTGAGCAGACACCACGTTACACGTGCTCCCAGCGGTTGGCAGAGAAGAGCAGGTGGATGGTGTGGTCCTCCAGGTTCTTCTCCCTGCCCAGGTAGGAGCTGATCAGCTGCCCAATCTCTGTCGTTCTGTCTGCAGGAAACACAGAGCATGCAAAGGCTGTCCTGAACTGCTCTTCCCACCGGGGTGTCTGTCTGTCTGGGTGTCTGTCTGTCACGGGTGGGAGGCTGGTTTGAGCAGGGCAGGGTCAGTCTGTCTGTCACGGATAGGCTGAAATCAGTCTGTCTGTCTGTCCATCAGAAGGTCTGTCCAGGGTGAGGGGGATATTTATTTGCCACAGTGGGAGAAAGTCAGTCCATAAAGGGCTGGATCTACCTGCCTCTGACAGGCTGGGGAAGCGGAGCTCAGTCCATCCAGGATGAGAGTCTGTCCGTCTGTCTGTCCGGGACGGGAGGAGTCTATCCAACCTAGGGGGTCCGTCTGTCTGTCCGGGACGAGTCTATCCACCCGGGGGTCTGTCTGTCTGTCCGGGACGAGTCTATCCACCCGAGGGTCTGTCTGTCTGTCGGAGGGAGGCGGTCTGTCCGTCCAGGGTGGGAGGGCTCTATCGCTCAGCGCTGGGGCGGTCCCTCCGTTCAAACGCGGGCCCGCCCAGAGCTCGGGCGCGGCGGGAGATCCTCCAGCCGGTTCCCCGCCCGTTCCCTCCCCAGCAGCGTACCCGGGAAGCGGAGCAGGTCGGCGGGGTGCCCGGCCTCCCTGAGGGCCTCCACGAGCCGCCGGCCCTGCGTGCTCTTCCCGGCGCGATCCACGCCCTCCAGCGCGATCAGCGCCCCGCGCCGCGCCGCCATCGCCGCCCGCCGGCCCCGCCCCGCCCTTTCCGCCGCGCCCGCCAATCGCCGCCCGCCCCGCCCCTCATGAATATGCAGCACCCCCGGCGGCGGCGGCCAATGGGAGGCGGGCGGGCCGTGAATACGGGATGAGGCCGCGGGCCTTGTCATGCGGGCCCGGCGGGCGGCGGGGAGCGGCGCGCGGGCCGCAAGATGGCGACTGCCATGTACCTGGAGCACTACCTGGACAGTGAGCGCGGGGCGCGGGCGGCGGAGGGGCCGGCACGGGGAACGGGGCGGGGGCGGCGGGATCGGGGCGGGGGCGGGGGCGGCGGCGGCGGCAGCGGCAGCGCGGGAATTAAAACTGCGCCATGGGCAGCGCGGGGGAGTGGGGGGGGGGGGCGGCACGGGGATTGCGTCATCAGCCGGCGTCGGGTTACGTCAGTGGTGTGCGCTGGGGAGTGGGAGTGAAGCCATGGCGGCTGTGGGGGGCCGCAGGGCCGGGTCCTGCTCTTGTCCCTTTTCACCGCTCCGGACCCCGTTTCCGTTCCCTCCCTGTGCTCGGGGTCCTGCCCCCTCGGCTGGGCCGTGGTTCTGGGTGGTTCCAACACTCAAGGCCTGCTGAGGTGAGCGGGCACTCACGGTGCGTGAATCCCAGGCTGGGTTTGGTTTGGTTTAGAATTCATCTCGTTGCAGCCCCTGCCATGGGCAGGGACACCTTTCATTGGCAAGGTTGCTCAGAGAATTGAGTAGCGTTTTTATTGTAGGTATTGAGAATCTGCCGTGCGAGCTGCAGAGGAACTTCCAGCTGATGCGGGAGCTGGATCAGAGGACGGAAGGTACGTGCAGGTGTTCCGGCAGGCAGAGCTGGGAGAGCCCGGCGTGGAGGACGGGGAGAGCCCCCTGGAGGCCGGGCTTTAGGGGTTATGGCTCTTCCTTCTCTCAGGCTCAGTGCTCTGCAGGGTTTGCCTCTCTCCGGTGAGGATCCAGCTCACATGGCACGACTTGATTTTGTTTGCAGTTCACATTCGTAGCTCTGTGATCACTCTACTCAGTGGCCTTCCTTCCAGTGTTTCCATATCTAACAAGTTCTAGACTCCTGTGTGCCTTGTAGGATGATTTTTCTTCCTTTTTGAAGCTTTTGTTGGTGTCTGGCTGCACATTAATTATTTTAACTTGGAACCATCAGGGCAGTAAGTGATGGCCCAACTAATAAAATGTTCTGAAACTTGTGAACCCATGGGTTCAGGTCATGATCTTAACTGTGAACTAACTGTAAATTAACTTCTGAATTATCTGTAGAACACTCAAGAAAGCAGAATCACACCACAACTGCCAAACAATGAACACCTTTAACTTAACAGGTTTTGTTTTTAAAAAAGAAAATGCATTAAGGAATTGAGGGGAGCATAACAGCTGTCAGGAAGGGTCTCCTAAATGGAAATAGAAAAATAGAAATACCTGATTTTTTTTTTCTTTTTTCCAGACAAGAAAGCAGAGATTGACAGCCTGGCAGCAGCTTACATTGAGTCTGTGAAGAACATGGTACCTGAGGAGAGGGTGGAGCACCTGAGGAAGATCCAGAGTGCCTACAGCAAGTGCAAGGAGTACAGTGATGACAAAGTGCAGCTGGCCATGCAGACCTATGAGATGGTGAGCCATGGAAAAATGGGCATCCTCTGGAATGCTGCATGTGGAGATGCCTCAGAGTGTCAGCTTTCCCTCACTTTTTCTTCTTTTTTGACCTACATTTACTACCAAAACAAATTATTAGTCCTTTTTTATGTTTCTCTCTGTTGCCGTCCCCAAAAAGCTTTCTCCTTTAGCACCAGGTTTCTCTTTTGCTGAAGAATTAATGAGTTTATCCCCCTTGGAGGTGGCTTTATCAGCAGTACTCCTCTGCTGTGTGATAATGCCAGCAAATTTACCCCACTCCCTCCTCCCCAGCAGCTCTCTGCCACTGATAATTTATGTGGGACACACTTAGTTAAAAGCAAATTGGGGTTTTTTTAAGCCAGTGGAGGAACAGCTGGAATTCTGCTCTGTTGCCTTGGTTTATTGGACATCAGAATTTCCTCAGAGACCTTGGGAGAAAACCCCATTCCTTAACATGCATCCCATTTCTTAAGATGCATCTTTCCTCTTTTTTTTTTCCCTTTTGTCCCTTGAATAATTCTCATCTCCACCTGTTTTACCCCTGGATGAAAGCTGAGTGAGGAGAATCCTTTTGACTGTACTAAGTGTTTGTTGTCCAGCTAGCAGAGATGTTTGGGGTTTTGCTGCAGCTGCAGTAGGTGTTTGGCTGCCATCAAACACTGCAAAAAAGGGAATGATGTCCCAGGAATATCAATGCCCTGATAATTAGTGCACTTATTTAATGACAAACTATTGCAGCAGCACAATTAACAAATTGCCTGTCAGTTTGGTGGGGGGTGTGGCTTGAAAATCCCTGTTCTGAAAGTCACTTTATTGTAGCCAGGGTAGTACCAGGTACTTAATTAGTGTGTGTTGAGTTGATATTGAGGATAGCCAGCCTCTGTCTGTATTTTATTATTAAACTTTGATTCACATGACAGTGGAGTACCATGGGGAAAACCCAAACTGCTCTGCTCAACACGTTTCAAGAACTGCCTCTGAATTTTGAAAATTGCAGGGGCAAAACCAATTTTTTTAGTATCTCTCATCTTGTTTTGTTCTGAAAATCATTAGTTTGAGTTGCTTTGAGTCTCTGTTGCCTCCCTTCTTCCTTTCCCTGCTTGTGGAGGGGTTGGATCCTTGTGCTTTTCCTCCTCATTCCGTCTGCGTGTGCCGTTTCCCTTTCCCCACCCCATACCCCTTTCCTGCCTCACTCTGCCCCACCACACTGCTCCTGCTGATAACAGCCGAGTTTGAGCCCTTCCTGTTTTTGTCTGGGGCTCTTTTTTTTCTGCTTTTGGGTGTTTCTGTGCAGTTCAGTTTGTGGTTTCCTCTCGGGGCAGGTGGATAAGCACATCCGCCGGCTGGATGCGGACCTGGCGCGCTTTGAAGCTGATCTCAAAGATAAACTGGAAGGCAGCGACTTTGAAACCCCTGCATCCAGGAGCCTGAAAAGTGGGTGAATTTTACACAATTGGGAACCTTTTCTATCACACAGTATCAAAGCAGGAAGGCTGAGATGTAAAATAGGCTGTTATTTCTGGAGGAAGGAAAGAAATTTGTCGTTCTGTTTGTTTTTAATGCTCTTAGAGTGGGCAAGAGATAAAGAGAAATGTGGTGCTGGGATCAAATTTACTGTCACTGTTTCATCCTGAAGTTGTTACTGGTTCTAAAGAGGGTGCTGTGCCAAAACTGCACTGCTGTAACAGTCTTAGCTTTGGGAGAAATTAGGAATTAAAAGATGATTTAAAATTAAAAGCAGCAGCACAGCTTTATGCCTTTGAACAACGAAATAAGGGGTAGGAGCAAGGAAGTGGAGATAAAAGTTATGTTAGTTATTGAGTAATCTATTAACTGTGTTTAAAAACACACTGAGATGAAAAAAACCACTGCATGTCTAATCAAGTGTGATGCTGTTTATGACATGCTGCAGTGCTTTGTTGCCAAAACTACAAACACAAGAGCTTGGTGCTCAGTTGTTATTAATTTGGTGTACTTGTGGCTTAAAAATGCATTTCAGGCAGCATATTCAATTACATATATAATAAGGATTACTCAGTTGCATATTAAATAGGGATTTCATGCATCAAAAGAACAGCTGGGGATGTTTCTGCTACTCAGATAAAGTGGTGAAGTTGGTTTTCCTTTCTAGAGGGACGAAGTCAGAAAGACAAAAGAAGCTCTCGTGGTCGAGGCAGGAGAACATCTGAAGAAGATACACCAAAGAAAAAGAAACTCAAAGGAGGGTAAGGCAGGGCCAGGCACAACTCCAGGGCCTTGGGCTTGACACTTGATGAATTTTCCACAGGCTCATATTACCCTGTTTATGACTCATGTCCAGATGGTGAGCAATGTTAAGAGTGCTCTGGTCTTACTCCATTTCATTAATGTCCTGCTTAGGACAGGCCAGCATTGTTAATTAACTCCTTGGTTGGCATGTGGAAGCTCAGCATGCTTGGAACACTCTGACTGGAAGGACAAGATCAGTCTCCTGTTGCTGTTGGCAAGCTGGGAGAAAATAGCTTTGATTTTTGTCACAGAGCTATTTTTAACACTTGCTTGTGGTCTTGATGGTAAAAGAAATTCACTTGGCCATCAGGACAGAAACTGATGTTGTGCTGCTGTTCTAGAAATCTTGGAGAATTTTGGGGGGTTGTTTTCAAAGGACTGTGTCCTAGGTAGCCTTGAATAATCTGTTTTGGTTTTGAGAGGCAAGGAGGAAAGCTTGTCCCCTCTCTGAGATGGGATTTATATTAAAGAGGCTTGGTTTATTATGATATTTTCAGGTGGCAGGAAACTAAAAGTAGTTTCTATGGACTGCTACTGGCATGTCAGCACATCCCTGTCAGGGTAAGAGGGTACACTCATGCCTGACAATGAGAAAAAAATCTATATTGAAACAGGTTGAGGAAAAACTCCAAACAGATTGTTTTACCCACAGCCAGGAGTGATCTGTATGATAATTTGTTACTTTACTCATGACAGCTACAAATCCCTCTCTTAATTCTTTCCAGTCATATTGTTATGTTTGATCCAGCCTACCTTATGATTTTAATTACTGGATTGTGGTAATGTAATACAAACTCTAAAACAGGCCCAGTGTGGTTTAGGGACGATACTGCAAAACACTGATTTTCCCAAGTAGGATTTACATCTTGAAAACATCAAATCCCAGAATGGTTTGGGTTTGGAGGGACCTTAAAGACCATCCCATTCCATCCCCTGCAGTGGGCAGGGACACCTTCCACCAGCCAGGGTTGTTCCAAGTCTGGCCATGAACACTTCAGGAATGGGGAGATACAGCTTTTCCAGGCACCCTGTGCCAGGGCTTCCCTCCCCTCCCAGGGAAGAATTTCCTCCCAGCATCCCATCTAACCCTTCCCTCTGGCAGTGGGGAGCCATGCCCTTGTAACACAGTGCTGTCTGCAGTTGAGAAATGTTTTGTCCTGACTCTGTCCTTGCCCACAGGTCTGAGTTTGCTGACACCATCCTGTCAGTGCATCCCTCAGACGTCCTGGACATGCCAGTGGATCCCAACGAGCCCACCTACTGCCTGTGTCACCAGGTGTCCTATGGAGAGATGATTGGCTGTGATAACCCAGATGTAAGCACTTCAGAGATTATTGATTTCCCGGTGTTTGTTGCCTCCCAACCCTGTACAGCCCAAGGAGGGGGTCCTTGCTCAGTTAGCTCAGTCCTTGCTCAGTTAGCTCATAGCAATGATAGGAATGTTTGTGAGCCACTAACAATCTCCTCTGTGGGTTTTTCCTTTCTCTTTTGCAGTGCCCAATCGAGTGGTTCCACTTTGCATGTGTGGACCTGACCACCAAACCAAAAGGGAAATGGTGAGTATGACAGCATTCAGCTTTGGGGTTTTTATCAGGCTGCAGTTTGCCTCAACAAGAATTAAAACCCTGCTGTGACCCAGACAGTTGGCATCCTCTGTGATTGGGGATTAATTTGAGAGTAGAATATAGAAGACAAACCTTGTTAAAATCCATTTCCACAGAAGTCTTAGGTACTGATGGGAACAAAACTGCCTGATAAACAGAGCAGGTTTTGACCTGAGGCTTGTGTAAACAGGGACATGTTTCATTTGAGGTTTGCTGCATTTTCACTACTTGTGGCTGTGCCTAAAACATACCCAGGTGCCTCTTTGTTTCACTTCTGGAGGCAAATTTTGAAGACTTGTCAGGGATTTACTACGTGCTTATCTTGAAAAGGATCATGGGATTGTTATTTTTATCTAATGAACTGTTTCAATCAAATTACCAATTGTCTGTCAGAAACAGGCTTAATTGTGCACAAATGTTAAAAACAATTCTCAGTCTCTGTGCTGTTAATTTCAGGAGCTATTTACTGCCTTTTTTTTTTTCCTACAGGTTTTGTCCTCGTTGTGTTCAGGAAAGAAAGAAAAAGAAGTAAGGAGTAGAGGGGGATACAGCGCCGAGGCAAGAAGAATTTAATATATTCCTTCATTCATGTTGCAATATTACCTTTGATTCTTTTTTGTTAGTCTATCCTCCATCTTTTTCTGGTATGATATTTAATTATCCAGTGGCCAGTTGAAATTCCTGTTCTTTCCTAAGACAATGACTTTGGGAGGGAGTCCCAAATCCCTTTGCCACGGAGATTTTATTTATGTTAGTCTTGCACAATAATACTGAGGGAGGATGTTGCCTTTTCTGGCTGTTTCGATTTCCCTGAAGATTCTTTGAGTACATCACTGTGAAGATGAAACCTGCAGTATTCTTGGAGAGAAAAGGTTGGATTTATTCACCAAATAAGATGAAGGCCTGAATTGTTAGCTGTGATTGCCTGTGTGGCACATGGGTAAATCAGGTTTTAGGGAAAGGCTCCATGAGGATATTTGTCTGTTCCCATGATGGAGTGGCTCTGCTGTTGAAGAAGGCCATCAGGAATGTTCTATTAGAACTTCTTGTCCTTTTTTTTAATTGGCCACATTTGCATGTTCTTGACTTCTCTAGCTGCCTTTCAGATGATGAATGTGAATCCTTGCATTAGCACAGTGTCAGTGGCTGCAGCAGAAGAGAGAGAGGAAATCAGGAGCTGGAAAGCAAAAGTCTGTGTTTTCCTTCCTCTGAGATACAGAGGTTGAGGGAAGAGCAGAGATAAGTCTTGGTTTTGTATCTGTCTCCTGCATCATGAGGCTTCCCTGCCTTCAGTGAAAGATGTAGTGGGGAAGGTATTCCAGGTTTCCTTCCTGCTGATGAAAGGAGGAAAAAAAAGCCCCAAACTCATGAACTTTGCTGGCTCTGGTCCCCAGTGGGTGTTGGTGGCAGCTCTGTGCAGGGCTGTGTGCTGCTTTCCATACCAGTGTGCAGGAGCTCTTGGTACAGGCTGCTGGAAAGGCACCAAGAAACTCCCAGATAAATTTTTCTTCTGCTGAAAAAACAGCACAGAAGGTTAAAAACACTTCTACTCAGATTCTGGCACCTGCTTCCAAAAGAAAGAAGGCTTTTCCTGTTACACTGAGCCTCTTACTCATGTTTTGCAATGAAGGAAAGTAGAACACAGCTCCTGCCACCTCTCCTTCCCTCTGTGGGGCTTTGTGCCTGCTGCTGTAGAAGAAACTTCTCAATTGTGAGGCAGCTTTTCTGTGAATATTGATTTATGGCAGGAAAAAATGATGGATTTTAGGCAAAAATCCCTGTCTTCAGGGTGCTGTCATTTCCAGTGGGATGTTGCAGGTGTCTTTACTGCATTGTATCACAGAGAGATGAAATTCTCACAGTTGTGTGCATGAAAATGCACATTTGTCATTGCTGCCTCAGAGTAGCACATGGAAAGCAGGCAGGGAAATTAAAGCCAGCATGCTGGATGGAAGGAGGAGGAGCAGCAGCAGGCACACAAACCTAGGGTTCAGTGAGCCCTCTTCTTTTTCCTGCCTCTTCATGAGAGCAAATTTGTGATACCTCATGAGCCAGCCTGTAATCCAGTCCTAGGGTTTGTTTTCCCCTCCCACACAATGGGTTTGTAGGCAGCTTCTCTTCCTGATTTTCCTAAGCTTTGTTAGTACTGGCATTGCTGTGGATTAAGCATTTGATTGGAAACAATCTCAAAATTTCACTCTGGAGATCTTGCTGGAAATGTGCCATGAGGGAAGGGAGCAGCTCTGGGTGAGCCAGTGTGGAGATGACTTCCCTCAGCTCTAAAATTCTGGTCAGGTAGGATAAAAAACCTCATTTTTAATAGTACTTTTGGGGCTTTGAAGAGCATTTTCCACTTGAACCAGCAAAGTAAAAAGGAAAACAAGCTCTGGAAGGTAGAGCCCTCAAAAGGAAGGATAATTTGCTAGGAATGATGGTGTGAGGTGCAACATTCTGTTCTTTACAACACCAGTGATATGTAAAGCATCTGAGATCTGATACCAGCAATAAACTCTCCCACTGGGAACATGCCAGTTCAGGGCTTGGATGGGCTCAGGAGCATCTCCTGCCCTTTTACACCTGGTTGTAGAGAATTTTTACAACTCCTTGTAGACAGAAAATACCAGCAGCCTTCATTTCTGCTTACTAAAAGATTGAAACCTTCTGACTTTTGAATGTACAGTGTTAAAATATTTCCTACAAAAAGAATACCCCACTAAACATTACCCCAAAAAAAACCCCACACAAAGGTGGGGGGGGCCCAGCTTTACTGCAGCTCATCCAAACTGGAGGTCCGTACCGACTTTCACCTAATTCCCGAAAAAAAAGTAATTAAGGAATGTAAAGTTTAAAAGAAAAAAAAAATCTATATCTGTATTTTTGGATCTTGGAGATGTTGGATTATATTATAAATAAAGTATTTTTGGGAATAAATGTGTTATTTTTGGCGGGAATGAGTGTGAGGGGGGTGCTGTTGCAACCTCCGGCCGCCAGGGGGCGCGTCCCCGCCGCGGAGCGTCCTTGGAATCTCCCGTTTTACCGGGATAATTCTGAATTTTCCTTCCCGGTCCGCGCTAAACTACGCTGAGGAGGCTGCGTGGCGCGGTGGGAGTAGCGGAAGAGCCTCGCTTGCCCTCAGTGCCGCGCTGCCCTCACGGAGCGGAGCCGCGGGTTTTGCCATGGCTGCCGCAGCCGTGTGGCGCCGCGGGGCCGGCTGGCTGAGGAGCTGCCGAGCGAACCGGGAGCTCCCCGGTGTGCCCCGGGCCAGGGCCTGTGCTGGCTCCCGGGAGGTGGTGCCGACCTGCGAGCGGTACGCCGTGCGCAGGCTGCCCTTTGCTCGGCTGGCGGATGGCGATGTGGCGTTCTTCGAGCGCCTCATGCCCGGCAGGGTCATCACCGGCGAGGAGGAGGTGAAGCCATTTAATGTGGACTGGCTGAAGTCGGTGCGAGGTAAGCGAGCTGCGGGGTGAAACCTCCTCCGTGCCTCTGTTAATTAAGGAGTTTGCTAAAGGAAAGCTTATCTTTATTAATGGCGGATCGTATCTGTACAGGCCGTAGAGCTGGAAGGGAGCCATGAGGATTATTGAGTCTTAACTCCTGGCTCTGCAAAGACACCCCAGCAATCCCACCCTGTACTTAAGAGTGTTATCCAAATGCTCCTGGAGCTGTGGCAGCCCTGGGGCCGTGCCCATTCCCTGGGGAGCCTTCTCTGCAGGAAGAACCTTCCCTGATATCCCCCCTAACCCTTTCCTGACGCTGCTCCAGCTCTTCCCTCGGTCCTGTCCCTGGCCATCAGAGAGCAGATGAGTGCCTGCGCATCCAAAATGAGTTTTTCTCATAAAATTATTCCTCTAAGAATTACCTGATAGCAGGAAAACTTATAGGCTTTCTCAAAAATTAAAAAAAAAATCGAAACCCTCTAACTTAATAATTAATTTTTTCCTGAGATTAGTTGATTCAGCTAACAGTTTTGATTGAACCTCACAAAAGAATATGAAAGTTTTTGGGAGACTTTATTGCAGCCTTTCAGTACTTTATTAAAAGGAGGGAGGGAGACTTTTAATGTGGGTCTGGAGTGGCAGGACAAGGTGGAATGGCTTCCCACTGCCAGAGGGCAGGGTTAAATGGGATATTGGGAAGAAATTCTTCCCTGCGAGGATTCTGAGGCCCTGGCACAGGGTGCCCAGAGCAGCTGTGGCTGCCCCTGGATCCCTGGAAGTGTCCAAGGCCAGGCTGGACAGGGCTTGGAGCAACTTGGGATAGTGGGACATGTCCCCCGCCCATGGAATGAGATAAACTTTTAGGTCCCTCCCAACCCTAATCATCCTGTGATTCTGTGATTCCAAATCAAGCATTGTGAATTCTCTGTTGCTTCTCTCAAAGATTTCATGAGAATTTAAATAATTTCCCATTGCCTCCAGTGGCAGCCAAGTCTACCTATGCATGCAAAGTTTTTAGCAGAGCTTAAAGGGAAAGGCTGCTGTTGAAATGTTTGTTTTCAAAGTGGCTGAAATGCCTAACAGTGGAGGGAGCATTATAATTTCCCACCTCATCTTTTCCCCCCTGTTTCTTTCTGACCTCTGCAGAGCCACAGCTTGCCTTGAGAGTTCCTTGCTTTCATTGCAGGCTGCAGCCAGCTGGTGTTGAAGCCCCAGACAACGGCAGAGGTGTCTCAGATTCTCAGGTAACACACACCTTTTCTGCTGGGCTTGGGTTGAGCCAGGGATGATCCAGCACCTGAAGGGAGCTTGTAGGTGTTCAGACATCAATTCCTTATGTTGCTGAGTTAGTTTTCTTCATGACTTTTCTGCTCTGATAAATGGCTAAAATTAGGTATTAGAAAAGAGCAGTTTTGTGAAAGATTCAGGAGGGTCTGTTTGAAAAGGTGAAGAAGGTTAGGGCAGAGCCAGGCAGTTTGAGGGTCTGTTTTATCCTCACTGGTGAGAGCACAGCTCTGGTTGGGCAGTGCTGTGCCAGGTCACTGCTTGGCTGAGGAGCTGACAGCTGCAGGAACGTGCTCCTGGCTCTGTTAGAACAGGGATGCAGAGCACAGGGAAGGCAGACAGGGCTGCTCAAGGAGCTCTGGTGCCATGGGCTCTGTGCCATCCCTTGTGCAGGAGCTGCTGTGAGCTCAGAGGGATGTGCTGGGTGCTGCTTGGCAGGGATGTGGCAGGTGCAGCAGCAGAGGCACAGGTGCACATTTTGTCACCTACAGGACATTAATTTCTTGGGATGAGGGGGGCAGTCATGTCTGGAAGCACTGCCAGAGGATGGCTGAGGAGCCCAAGCTGTTAAAACAGACTGCTGTAGAAACATAAGCAGTGCTTTCCAGGCAGATGTTGTGTGCCAGATGTGTAGATACGCAGGGGCCTAACCTCAGGTGTTGGTTCTTTGCTCAGCCCTAGGCTGAATTCAGACAGGAGCTGCTCTTTCTCACTTTGCCATTGAAACTCTCTCCTTCCATCAATTTAATCTTTCTGTGAAACGCTGCTTAATTTTAAGGAGTGCTGTCACAACAGTCAACATTCATGTAGAGGTGAAACTTCTCTGACAGATTGATTGTGGCTTTTAAATGCATAAAAATCCAGAAACCTTTTTCTTTCCAGGTACTGCCATGAGAGGAACCTGGCAGTGAACCCTCAGGGGGGGAACACAGGCCTGGTTGGGGGCAGCGTTCCTGTCTTTGATGAGATCATTCTCTCCACTGCTCTCATGAACCAGATCATCAGCTTTGACAAGGTGTCTGGTAAATATTCCAGGGATGTGAAGCACAGAAATGAGCCCCAGGCCACAAAGCAGGCATTTTCCTGGGAACAGGTAGCAGCAGGATCAGCTGGGTTCAGCCCAGCAGCTTCATAGGGAGGTTTGTTTGGGTTTGGGGGGTCAGGCTGGTGTGAGAATCTCTGCTCAATGAGGGAGAACAACAGGCAGAGATGCATTTAATGTGCCTGTGTTTTACTAGTCCAGAGTTGTGGGTGATGAGATATTGAGGCAATAGCAAAGCTCAGTGAGGAGGGGGCAGTTCCCTGGAGCATGCACAGATTTATGCATTTAAACTGAATCCCAGGAAGTTTTGAAGAAAGTGGTGGCTGTATCTGCTCAAACTGCTCCTGCTTCTTGAGGAGGCACCTTCTTCTTGGCCATCAGCTTGTAGCATGGTGTTTGTGTTGCAGGAATCCTTGTGTGCCAGGCCGGCTGTGTGCTGGAGAGGCTCAGTGAGTACCTGGAGGAGCAGGGGTTCATCATGCCCCTGGACCTGGGAGCCAAGGGCAGCTGCCACATCGGGGGGAACGTGGCCACCAACGCCGGTGGCTTGCGGCTGCTGAGGTACGGCTCTCTGCGAGGGACCGTGCTGGGCCTGCAAGTGGTAAGGCGAGTACCTGGCAGCTCCCTTCTTGTGTGATCCCCTGCTGTGCTGCTTCCTGCTCCTGTAACTATCCAGCACACTGCCACGTTCCTCTCCAGGCTCCCACTCTTATCTTTTCCTTGGTGGGCTCTTTTGAGAAGGGCCAGCACATCTTCATGCGTGTAGCATGTTATTGCTGCTGCAGTTTCCAGCTTCGTGACTTCCAGTGCTTGCTGACAGAGGTGGTGTTAGGTGGTTTTCTGATCCAGACAAGTGAAAAGAAGGTAGGGAGAGGTTGGGGCATCCCAGGTTATCTGCATGGAGTTGGTTCCTCTGGAACACTCTGCTAAATCCATCCTGCATCGCTCTCTCCTAGTGGCTGCTCACTCAGATTTTAATAGAATCATAGGATCACAAACTGGTTTGTGTTGGATGGGACTTTATGGATTATCTTAGGGTTTAAAGCCCACCCCATAGCAGAGCTGTGTGCTTTGGGTTCATTTGGCTGTGTCCTAGAGTCTCTGCTGTTCCTCAGCTGCTGT